CTAGTTGGAAAACTTATCCGGAATTCGAAAAATCGTAGTTATTTAGAGTTAGTAACTTATCACGCGGAAGAGATTATGTTTCATTTTGGGAGTAAATTGACTGGGCTAATAGTGATTTCGTTTTAGGGCCTAGGCTTTGAGATATTGTGTGTTCGGTAACAGTCAGGAACTCTGGAACTTTATTCCGAAAAGCTATGTTAAAGCTTATCAGATCCTCGTAAATCAAATTTTTACATCAGCAACTCTACTTCTCATCATAGGCATGAAGTAGTTGTTTCAATCGATTTAGGCGTCGTTAAAGTTTTGGTTTTAACTAACTGTTTGTTCGCAATGGATTTATGTGGGCTATGAATTTCCGTAGGTTCAAGTCTCTAGATTGTTGCAATGTCTAATATTTATCACCTTTTGGTAGTTCAAAAATGGTTGGCTGGAAATTCAAAGTCTGCTGCTAACTTGGAGGCATTGATTTGCTATCTTTATTTGAAAATGGCACGCAAGCACCCTCTTGTTGCACGGGTATTTTCGAAATAACCAGACAGTGGAAGTGGGGAGGGTGGGGAGGGGGAAGTAAACAAACATCCCTCCGTCTGAAAAATATGCTCAATTTTTCAAAGATTTCAAATATGCCCGTTCCAGGTACTTTTTCTTCGCGTAGCTCAAAGCTCGCGTTTTGTCTTTCGAGCCCACCAGCGAAGACCAACAATTTCTATACTACTCGTCAAGATGTACAGCAGAAACAACATGGTCGCCATTGAACGTCCTCGAATCGCCTCCGCCCTACAGGCGGATGGCTTCCAGACCGTCAAGCCGGATCGCCTTTTCCGAAGAGCTTCGGTCATCAGATCTTGCAGTCTCAGCTCACAACACGAGTATAGACCTGCAAGCAGAAAGTCTGTACAACGAGCCTTACGACAAGCATCACAGGTTTGTGGCTTGGTTCGGGTTCGATTCTTTGCGAAGCTCGAAAAGTGCAAAACAGATAGATATTTCTGGATATTTAGCTGCATCTGTCACTGCGAACAGTGGACGGATCAGTCAAGTATCGAGTTAATTGTGGATTCGACAAACTTGGTAACAATGGACATGAGCAATTCTTCAGACCACATGTCGAAAATGAACGGTAGGTGATG